CTTGTTGCACGGCCAGTTGGCCAGTTGACCACCACCAGCAGCCGCAACAGCAACACCCGACATTGTTGTAATTCAAGTTAGCTACAAAAATAGAATCTTAATTTATTGTTGCTGCCGCCTGTTGCTGCCCTCCATACATGGGCATATCATTTTCATTTTTCATGCCGGCGTCGCAGTCGTTCTCTATAGTTAAAACCGTCCCCAGTCCCAATGTCCATATCCATCCGAGCCCCCCTTTTAAATGAAAGTGAAATGTATTTGTAGTTGATACTGTTGTTGTTGTTGTTGTTGTTGTCATGTTTTGTTGCAGCATTCTAGTCTAGTTGGCAGTTAAGTACAGTAGACATTCGCTAATATGTGCTGCTGATGTGCTACTTCAATTATAAGATTGAGTTTAGAGAGTAAGCTTTTTCACAAAATTCTTTCAGAACAAATAAAAAGGGGTTTAAAGTTTTAAATCTATAATAAAACCTCTCGTGTTTAGCTACAAATGCTTCAAATCAAGTATTGATTAAATAAAAACTATTTTGGTTACAGGCGAAAAACTTACAAATTAAGCTAATTTTAAATATGTTAAAAATATCAAATCTTAAGAATTGTGTAGAACAATACGAGTGCTGCCTGTTTGTCGTTTAGCTCTATATTTAGAAACTGTAGTTATGCCATAATTGTTTGCGCTGTCTCGAAATGGAGCTGCGACGCCAGCGACAACGGCGACTGCAACTGCAGCGGCGGCTGCAACTTCAACGGTGACTGCGATAGCAACGCCGACTGTAACTGCAACGGCGACTGCGACAGCGACACCGACAGAGCCAGCGACTGCGACGCTTGTTAATTATGGAGCCGCTGTCTGCTGTTAGTTTTGGTATGGAGCATGATTCATGTAATTTATAAGTCTAACTGATAAAAGATGATGCGCCACCCCAAAAGCAAATGGCTGCAGGAATTTTGTAATTAGCATACATATACATACATATGTAGATCCATACAGACATACATGTGTACATAAATGTGTTAAATTGTTCAACAATAATAGTTTAAAAATTTGACGAATTTGTTGAATTTGGTTCGGTTTGAGTTCCAGTTCAAACTGTTGCAAATAATTTACGGCCGTATGCTAATGAGCAGACATAACAAATTTATTTAACTGAAGTGCTTTATTATAGCGCGAAAAAGTCTGAAAGCAAATCAAATACTAAAGCAATATGTAAATAAAAACGTGTTTTTATCAAAAAAAGTAAAAAAGTAAAAATACCCCCGCAAGTTGAACGTCACGTGAATCGCCGAGGAACGAGACACGGGGCACGAGGCGGGGTTGTTGTTGTCTTGGCTGGTGAATCACCAAGGCAGTTGCCCCAAAGCGATTTCGCGATTTCATTTCAAAGTGCGAAGTCTCGCAGATAACGCAAACAGCAAATGCCACAAAAACAAATGTGACAACAGGTGGGATTTACAGGTCGCAAATTGAATTCTCTTCACGAGAACAGAAACCAGAACATAAGGATGCTATATAGAACTAACTGTTCATAGAAAATAGTTTTTGACTAGTGTGAGGTTAGTTTAGCATTTGGTAAATATGATTAATGATAACATTCAGTTTTGAGAAACATTTTATTAGGCTGTCTTGGAATTGATAAGAATAGAGTAGTAAAGATACTAGAGAAAGTAAATTTTCCAGAATAAAAGTCTAGACACTCGTTTTAAAATTTAGAAGAACCTTTGATTTGATAAAATGCTTAGACTTATCAAAAAAGTTTGTTTCTTTATTTAAATAGGTATTAAAGAACTTATTCTTAGGAACATATACAGATTAGCAATTACGAGACATGCAAAAATCTTAGGAATTGATGATCAAATTAGGTTCCTGCTCCTATGATCTTTATATACTCGGTTACTCTTGCATTAAAAGACACATAATTGATATTAAGCACATGAGACCCTCAGATAGAGTATTAAAAACAACATGCGGGTTTGTGGAAGGCGATGCCCTTGACCATGTTTTGACAACCAATCATGGCAAATGAGCGTAGCTACCGTTAAGATCGGAACTGCGAAAAACAAAATTCGAACCGATCAGGCCAGGCTACCTGGCCAATAGTTTAAGTCTTCTAGTCCTCTTGTTGTTATTGTTGAGTGCATGCAGTCACAACTGAGCAGATGTTTTCGAACGGCATTATAGAGGGGTTTAGCCTAGGAATATGATATGGCTTTGAGCTAAACCGAACTGTACACATTTACCTGGCTCGGCCTAGATCTCACGAGTTTGTGGCGGTTTTCTGTCGGTATTCCGAAACTGCGTAATTGGAAACGGAATTCGAAAATAGATTAAGATTGATGATAGTGAGAGATGAATTATAGTAGATTTTATTTAGTTATATATTGAACGATTTTTGAAATGCAATTTTGTGTGCCTAATTTGCTTATAGCTTGAAAGGTAAGCTAAATTTGTAAGGGAAAGCCCTAAATAAAACGTCTTTTTCTCATCCCATATAATAAACGACTAATTCAAGTATTATAAAGATCTATCGATTCGAGTAAATTGTAGCAGTTTTTTTAACCTAATATGTTAGTTGTACCGGTTTTTTTTTTTTTGTTTTTTTTGTGTGTTTTATTTCGGACACTTTCAGTTATTAACACAGTGTTTGTTAGTCCTTTCTTGTTAATAAACCAAAACACGCATACACCCAAATACACTTAATATGGTCTATCTATATGGAATATCGGATACTAAGTATCGAAGAAGGACGCATAAGTGGAATGAGAAACGCCAGGGATTAAGAAAGGAATACAAATATCGAACAAATTCCGTACTTGCGAAACATGTGGGCTTCGATCATCATGCCCATCCAATTCAATTTCGCGTTCAAGCCACATCCCTAGTCGAACTAGCCGCCATTGCTGTGGATAAACTGCCCTTGCCATCGGTCTTCAAGTGGACTTACGCTGACGTTAAGAGATGGATTCGCAGATATGGCTATCCCCAGTATATGGTGAGTTAGACGGTCCTTCTTTATTAGAGTAGAATATGTACACAATAAAGATAAATATAAAATATAAAAACATCAAGATTGTATGAAAATCTTACTGAATGAAGTATGTGTGGAATAAGACCTCTGCGAGGGATTATGATATTTCCTATTCGGAATTCCCGACATCTCTTTCAACATAATGTACTTTCTAGAGTTGTCTTAGTGGAACACCCGTTACGTTAGTTCTTCAGCTCTCTCAAACATACTTCTTAGAGTTCTCTTACTAGAAGCGTATTACTCTAATTCTGGAAATTAACTTTGATTCTCTTGATAGAATACTTTTGAGGTGAACAAGATCTGGGGCAGGAAGCTGTTGCTGGTGGACGCCGCCGCCTTGTCGGCGATGAATATCAAGGACTTTGAGCACATTAAGCACATTGCGTACGGTATACGGATGCTCTTCCATTTGGAGCTGACCAAATTCTCGAGCAAAGTGTCGCTCCCTGATGAGCGGCCCAACGAGCTGTACCTGCTGTGGCACACGCAGACGGGCATCAACTATGATGACGTGCGTCGATCGGATTTGTACAGGCGTATGCAGATCATCAGGGAGCGTTTGCCCGATCTGGAGCATTGGGATCTACTGACGCTGTGGCTAGCACGGGAACAACAGCGGAAATTCAAGGAATTGCAGCCTTCACGCCTAGTGCCAGCAACGAAACCGCCCGCAGTGGAGTGGGCAAGAGAGTTGCACTCCATAGATGACGAAATGTGCGTAGAATGCATGCCCCCTTGTGATTGCTGTTGGAATGCAAATGATGTCCGTTTGCCGTGGATTCTGAGCGTTCTACCCCATTCCGTTAACTCGTCCCAGCTCAGGGGGTTAGCCTCCGAGAATAGCTGCGTTAAGTGCATACCGCCCTGCGAGTGCCGCTGGCTGTCCCGTTACTATCTGACCGGCACAGTGATGAGCTGCCTGCAGCGAACCTTCCCCGAGAAGTTCTCACCCATTTTTGATGTCGCTCACAAGACGGTAGTGAGCGACAGTATAATAGATCGCTGGATCCGATTCTCCATATAGTATAGCTCACAAACATACAACGCCCACACATAAATCCCGACTACATTCGATTGTAGATTTTAATATAGTATGCGGAAGATCTTTCCCTAAAAACAAAAAGCGTTTTTTTTTTTTGTTTTTTTTTTTTTATTTATTTAGAATCGATTTAAATTGCATCGATTGTATCTGGATAATTGTTGATTACAGCTCGAATTGATATCGCTGATGCTCTACACGTGAGCCCAGCTATGTAGGTTGCAAAGGCATAAATATAGTAGAGCATTCAACGACTGTAATATACCCTGTAACTAGGAATATTTTTAAACATCTTGGTCTTTTACTTAATATTTCTTTGGTATATAATTTTTTACGGTTATTGTAAGCGCTATATAATACCCTGCAACTCATTTGTCTTTTTATGCATTGGTCTATTCGAGAAACTATAGCTTTTTGAACATTTTAGAATATGAGTTTTAAAACTTAATAAGCAAACCAAAAATCATTGTGTTTTTCGTTGTTTATTGTTTTTAAAAGATTTTTGAAGATAAGTTTTAATCTTTCTATAGAAAATATGTATAGTTAAGCAATCTTTCTAAAAAATCCATTCTACCAATCGTTTAGCAATCCCACAAGCCCATCATACCCGTTATTTCCCGCCTCGGATTCAGATCAACCGAAGGTACAGTACAAAAATAACACAAGCAGCACGAAAAATTTGAATTTTGCATCCCACGACGACGACGACGACGACAACAACAACGACAACACATCAGCAGCGGCAGCGACGGCGACAACACAAGCAACACCAATACACACGTTCATTCGCGATCCATTGTAAAAGCAGACCCATTGAACCGAACGCCAATGCTGTGAGCGTCAACGTCTGCGTCAGCGCCAGCATCGACGTCAACAGCGCTGGCGCGTCGCATGCTCGCAGCAAAGAAAAAGCGGCTGTCGCGCAGGCAACATTTTCAGTTTAGTTCCAACAATCGGAGTGTCAAGCAGCTGTTGGCAGAAGGCGCAGGCAAAGACGAGCGACGACAAAATCAAAAATAACCAAACAGAATTAAGCAGGCAGCAAGGCAAAGAGCCAGAGGCGCAGCAACTCACAGCCGCCAACTGTTTGAAATTGTATATATTTCTTTTGCTTAATTTGCATTTAGAAATATAGTTGAAAAACAAAATTTTTGCCTGCGCATGCGCTGCGCTCAATGTGCCTATTTAAATAAAACAAACAGCTGCCGCTGCGAATTTTCAAAATAAAAGCATAGACACACTCAAAAGCTAAAATTTAAGAAGAGACGCAAAGTGGAGACACAAATATAAACAGCTAAAACTACTGTTATGTACATTTAAATACTGCAACGCGTGTGTTTGTTTGAGTGCGTGCATGCGTGCATTGGTGTATTAGAACGTATGCAGAGCTGTGTATGTATGTGTGTGTGACAGTGACACCGAAATACAAAAACAAATCCTTTTTCTTGTAATCATTCACAAACGAAAAACCACATAGAGGAACAAAAAAAAAACAATAAACGCGCGTGCATTTAGTTTGACGCGCGTTTTGTTTTACGCTTTGTTTAATATCTGGAAATTACTAGTAGTAAATACATTGTGCAAACTGCTAATTGGAGCGTGCTGTGCTAATTACATAATTAACTGTAAATAATTTACGTTTTTAGACATCTTTAAGTTCAAGGTGAGTTCCGCAATAAACAAAAAATGGGCATACAAAATCTCATGTCTTCCAGGAAACAAATTTTGATAGGAGCATTTGCTCAAAAAACAAACAAAACAATCAAATACTTAAAAATTCTAAAGTCAAGTATGTTTTATGAATTACGCTAAACAAATTTTTAATTGCTTGCAGAGAATGTGATGTATTAAATAGTAAATTATACTTTGGAGAAGCAAATTTAATGTTGTTATACTCATGCATGAAATGGAAATGAGTATATTTGTTTTAAATAATGTCCTTCTGTCGCTATGAACGCAAACCATTCGGAACTGGCAGCGTTTGGGTTTCAATGAGTAATCTATTCTTAGCGCTTTAAGCTAAAGTTATTAGACTTAAAATAATGCATAGGCATTGAAAAATTAATTTTTAAAATTATAGAAATCTCATTTATAAATATATGTGAAATTAAAAATAAAATTGTTCAGTTTAAAAGTGCTTCCAAGTAATTATAATCTTTAAACTTAAAAAATAAAACATTAAAATTTTTCGAAATAACATAAATTATCCATTGAAGTCATAATTGACATTTTTAATATTTATTAAATTA